ACGAACAGCCACAGAATGAAGAAGGGAGAAGGACGACGTATGTGAAGAGAACCAGGAGAAATGACGGCAACTATAACCCGGCTCTAAAACGGAAGATCTACTCATCCGACAGGACTCTCCGCAGCAAATGTCGCCGAACTGCAGAAGGGCCACCAGCGGCGGAGGAAAAGTTACAAGGAAAATTTGAACGGCCAGCAACGAGGTCCAAGCAGGAACCCGAAAGAAGTTTCCCGGTTCCGCCAAGACCAGCTACCATCAAACTGCCAAGACCACAGGCAGAGGCGAAAAAGAAGGTATTCAAGGGTGACCGAACTGGAGAAAAAAGGAAAAAAAGCTTCTAGAGGAAGGCACTGAAGGGCGAGCCCGCACAAGAAGGAGGATAAATCAAACGAGTATCTCGCTACCTTTCCAGGACTGGGCTCAGAAAAGAATGTCCGAATATCACAAAGATAAGTAAAATTTTATGTTACTTTGCAAACTTAAGTTAATCTTTCATTCTTACTGCAAGTGGCAGATTTCAAGAAGTTTTTACCTCATGTGCGAGGTCTACCTTTATCGCCAAAAGGCGAGAAATGAGTTGTTACCGATTTTGGTATTATGTTTTTCAATTACTCGCGCGTAAAACTAAAGTTGATGTATAATAGCGATGTGTAAATACTTAAATATTGTAAAAGTTATTGTATAAATTTTATTTAAAACATTCTGGCAAGAAAGAAGTTTTAGTCTGAAAGACTTTTTGAAATGTAGTATTTCAATGTAGAAAGAATTGGCACTTGCTTTGAAAAGAATAGAAGTTAACAATGTACTACTAATGTATGTTTTCAAATGCGTAAAATTAACGGCATGTTAATATGTTCTTATATACAATGTGAACTGTTATTTTAAATGTTAAGAAATACCGTGATATGGTAAAAGTGAAAAATTTTTTTTTTATTCGTGTGACTGTAAAAAGACTAAATTATGGTGAATATGTGTTAAAGGTTGAATGAATGTAGTTAGGCTCTCAGACGCTACACTTCAGAGTTAGCCACTTTCAGAATAGTACCTCAGGGTTTAGAGTTGAAATTAGGGTGTGTTACGAGGTCTTGGTTATGTTGAATTTTTAACACGTTAGTGTTTTGATTGTAGGAGGAAGTGTTGAACACGTAGTACATAAACACATTCGTGTTTTGGTTTTCTTTTACAACACATGTCAGAGAGCACGGGGAGAGATAATTAAAATAGTCATGAATGAAATAAGAATGTTAAGAGAAATATAAATATGCATGTTACTTGCCATTTCATTGTGTAACATTTCATTAAACTAGTTTTCCTTCCAGATCTCTGGAAGGAACCAGATTTGAATAAAAGCTCCTGTTTAGATGCAGTACAGATGAAAAATTGCGTGTCCTTGGAGCTGCTATTGTAAAAACAAATTTCTTTTTTTTTTAATTTCTAGTTTCTAGTGAGAGATGTTTGTAAAAAATTGGCCTCGCGTTAGATTCTAGAGCTAAAAGTTTTAAACAAGGTCGTTTTAGACCTCAGTTTCAGACTAATTAACTCTGGCGGGAAGTATGTAAGGATCTTAAGTTTTACTAACGTTTATTTTATTTTAAATCTTTACTATCACTTCTTATTTTCTACTTCCGGCCAGAATTTTATAAGCGTTAACTTATTTATGCAAAATTTGTCTGGCGAACGCCAAGTACTTAAGTTGTGGCTTTTTGCCAAGCGAGAGAGAGGAAGGAGTTAGTCGAAGCAGGCCGCTTACCTTAGTTTTACTCAGTTTGCTGGTTGCCTTCCAGGCCAGAGGTTTTAATCCTCTTGATAATTTTAAACGTATTGTAGTGTTAACAGTTCTTCTGTACTACATACGGCTTCCTGTTAATATAAGGCCAATCTTCCACGTTTATTATTTAAAGTTAAGTTAGAGTTTAGTTATATTTTTATATTCTTACGTTTAGACCACAAGTAGTGGGTCTTTGTATTCCGAAGTACGGAAATTATTGTAAAGAGAGAAAAATAAAGGGTTTTGTATACCCTTCTTGTGTATCCTGTCTACTTCCCACAGTTATGGAACATAGCTTTAGTAAGCTCTCTGTTCCGAGTCAGGTCCTTGCATGTTCCCCAAAGAAAGTAAGACGGAACATTGAACCTGATAACACTAAAGTACAGCTTCCGACTTGTTTCGGTCACTCTCAAGTCAATCTCTGAACTCAAGACACATTATACTACTCTCAAGATACTCTACTCCGCCTACAGGAAGGTTTTAGCCTTCCTTCGAGAACATTCGCGAGAAAACTATTAAATATATGTTCTAGAATGTTCTCGCTCCACCAATGGAGTATCGCCAATTTCGTCGCTAAATGTCAAGTGGGCAGTTTCACGCCAAATATGGCAACCCTGTCTTCCCCTGCTACTTTCTGGCAACCCTAACCCAGCTTTGTGGGGAAGCTAACTCACCACAGCTGGGCATTTCGTAACAATATAAAAGCAGTTTTCTCTATTGTTTAGAAATTAGACTGCAGGTAATTCCAAATGCTAAAAAAACGACTAAACATTGGTTTGTAAAAAAGATGAAGCGGGAAGCTTAAGGCTTTTCAGGTATTGAGAGTTTCAGTGTTAGGTCGATTAAAGTAAAAGGTGCTACAAAAAATGAAAGATTCGGTAATCTATTTTTCAACAGGTAAATCAGAAAATCAGTTTTAATTATGCCTTTACTATCAAACTTTTAATTACAAAATATTCACTTTCGGTTCGGCGAAACCCAGTTATAGCAAAGATTAAAAGCATTACTAGAAAGATATGCAGGCGATAGATTCTAAAGTTAAATTTTGATAGTAAATTGTTCTTTTGTTGAATAAAATTTATTTAAAAAGGAAGGAGGGCGAACGGTTTTGTAACATACAAAATTGGTTTTAAAAATACGAAAATTGATTAATTAAATCGATTTCAATCCATAGGAAGGAAAGGGAAAAAATTCGATTTTGGGAGTTGTAAATGATGAACTTCGAGAAATAAAAGCTGCCAATTTCGTCACTTTTATAAATGTAAGCTTTAACACATGCTTTCATATTATTCTTTTTCTAATATAAAACATATTCTTTAAAAACTTACTATCGGAAACTTAATTTCGAAAGTGCTTTTAATTATCTTTATATAGTCTCAAAAATTTAGTCAATATCTCGGATAATTTTCTTTGCATAAAGACAAAATGTTTCTTTCCATTTGGCTAACTCGGACATTAAAAATTATTAATAACGCTTTTTGAGAAAACCATATAAAAAGGCAGTTTCACATGTTTTACTGAAAGACTACATTTGGCCCGAATATCATTTAATTTGCCCCGATTTGAAGGATATAAAATACAAGCTACTTAAATTTTAACGTTTGTTCTTCTCTATGAACTTTGTTTATTTATTTGTTTCATATTTTTTGCCCTGTATGCAGTTAGGTTTGTCTTTACACATATTTTACATTGAAAAACTGAGTAGCTGTATGCTGCAGATCTAGCACTGATTGGACTAATCAGATCTGAGGAATGAAAGATCTGCATCTGGATAATCAAGCAGTATTGGATCAAAAACTTGTTTACATTAATGCAAATAAGGGGATTTTATTTGACGCTATTAACGACAATAATTCGTTACCACATTTTTAAGTCGCATATTAGCTACGTAAAAATTGTTGTACTTTATAGTTAAGAAAAGTTGCTATTTTCTCCAAAAAATAAAGCTCATACGCAGATATACCTCCAAAACCACCAAAGACCAAGTGTGAAACTTGCTGGATATTAATAGATTAATCTACTTTCGAATCTTAGACAGTGAGCTCACTGCATGCGTATTTCAGCTCTTCTTCCCATCTGTAACACGAATATTACAGTTTTCTTTAGAAAATTCTGCATGAAAGCATCCTTTCCGTTAAACAGGTTTTTATCCGCTGCTATGCTGTTTTTGATCAAAGAATCTGTATCCCTCCCCAAATATTGTATGCTAATAGAACGTTACCATACGCGTTTAAGGCAAGTTGCACTCGTTCGCTTTTCCATGTTCAAATAATCTAGCATAACAATACTAGCTTAGCAACAATGTGTTATACTGTAAAGGGAAGAAGGCCTTCGTGGAGAACTTTCGAAGAGAAATCCGCTGGTATTCACGTTACACGGGATGTGGAGGGAATCACGGAAACTAACTACGCAACCAGCGCTTTCGTCTAAGATAGGATCAAACCTAGGGGTCGTACGACCAAGTATTAACGGCCTTAACCAATCGGCCACTTTTGAGACCCTATTAATGTTAATGATTGGTGGTAACATGGTTATACGTGATGACATTGTACTATATCAAGTGAAATGAGTGAGTATTATTTACATAAAGGCATATTGGTTCATCCAAACTTAATGGCTTCTTAAAAGTATTGCGTTATAAACGGTTATATTGTTTAAGTTACAAAAATAAAAACTCATGAGTAAATTCATAACAAGGTAACTGGAAACAGCGTTAGCAGAAGAATAAGAGATACCACTAATAGGAGGCCTAGATAACTGGAATTTTATAACTTTTACATTATTAAGAGTATGGTGCACTTACTATGAGGAAAATAACTTTGCACAGTTTAATAAGCACTAAATGAAGAAATTTAAAAAAAGAAAAAATTTGTAGAAATAAGAATTAAATTTACTGCTGAATAAAGTTTCACTGGAACCAGATCAGTTTCTATCAGTGTTGTTGTTATGCTAAAAGTACTAGTTGTACACCGAGAAGTTTAACTGCTTTATCGAAAGAAGGATGACGGGAATGGCAACAGTTGCCATAACATCTCTAGTAATAGTTGTACTGAATTCCCATTAGACTCGTGTCTGCAGTAAATGTTATTCTTATTTACGTTAATTTTTACACTAAATTTCTCCATTTATTGCTAAGAATACGAATATTAAGCTATCAATGATACTAGAGAATCCTAAGAATAAATGTTATGCCCCAAAATATAAGAATAAGCAAACAAATTGTGTTAATTACGTATGGTTTCTTCGCTGAGTTCGAAAGGGAGGTCAGCAGGTCTTCCCATGAAAGCGTCGCTTGCAAAAGCATCTTTCATTGACTGAAAATCGCAAAGCACCACCACATTTTGACTACCTAATTGTATTCTGAAAGAAGAAATCATTAGAAGGTTCTCGAATTTCTTTACAATGCACATTCTAAAAAATAATTTAAAGAGGAGAAATTTTAGATATTCATTTTATTGTAAGCCATAATTTAAATTTGTTTTTTTATTAACCTTAAAAAGTGGCCCAACTAGCAGTAGAACTATTGAAGTGCAACGTAATACACCAGATCGAATTGTAAAAAGTTGAACGGGGCTATGTGAAACTGATACTCATAGCAGAATCGCAGTCCATCAGTATGAAAAGCTTTTCAAACTAAAAACTTTCAAAATCATGAAAATTTATCAGCTGCTTTGAAGTAATTGCATTAGAACTTTGTTAATCTTGAGGTTGTGACAGTATTTTATGATGACGGTCATTCCTTATGATGATTTTTAAATGCATTATTAAGGTGGAGAAGTAATAAATTTAGTAATCATCATATGGAATGATCGTCAACATAAGACATTGCCACTACTTCAATATCAACAAAATCACATAACTGCTTTAGAACTGCCCATAAAGTTTCGTGGACGTCGAAAATACTAAGCTAGAAGTCGTAAGGAATCTATCCATCATAAGCAAGGATTATGATGATTTCTATATTCATTATTAAGATGAAAAAGCAGCTCATTTAATAGCATTAAATCATGTTATATTTTTACAAGTAGTATATTAACTAATTCTGATGTCCTTTAATATCATTTGCACTGAAAGAAGAAAATTTATTAGAGTTCGAAGCTGCTAATTTACCTTAGTTAGTTAGATGCCGGATTAGAAATTAGTTATCTTGATTAAAATTTGAAAAATAACAACGTACTGATGCCTACCTTGAATTTTCAAATGATTTAATCTTACCAATTTTGTCTTGGCTATAAATTTACGCCTTTTTAGCCCCAAACCTTCGATACAGTTTTTAAAAGTTTGAATTTCTTCTTTGCTCTCGTTTACACTCCGTGTGGTCTGTGACTCTCACTTTGTTCTGGTATTTTATTATTTTATTCAGGAATTACTTTTAATTTCTTCATTATTCTTCACTTCTATCTTTACTGAATCTTTCAATATCGGAGTAGGAAATTCTTTCTCCAAGCGGTCAGTATTCTTATTTTCTTCCTTATCTTTCATTTTATTTGCTTTAAGATAATGGGACCATCCCTCCCAATATAAAGGGTATGTACCTTCGTATAAAATACATGTTTGTCTCGAGCCGTCTTTGTAGGTTTTCAGATAAATGTTTATCTGCATTTAAAGTATTTTAAACAATTTTCTTTGAATTTGTCTCAGTGTAATTGATATTTCAGAGTTGATATATTATTACGATTAAGAAATAAACCTAATACTATAATTATATAATACTCATAATTATTGCGATTAAGGTGCAAACTTAATAAGTGGAATTTCAAAGTTCTCATAAAACAGTCACATGGCCATTCATTGAAAAAAACCAGGTAAACGTAAATTAGTCGAGAATGAGATTATTTTTAGCGTCAAGTAGAAAACTAACGCCACTCTTCAACAAGTGCAGAACTCTTACTGCAGTTTTATAAAATTTGGTATTTAGGCATTATTTAAGGAAGAGAATTGAAATATGGAAAAACGCTAGTACGCCATTCCAGAAAAATTCTGACTTGAAGCAATATACGTATGTTAGAACAACGTAATATATAAATTTGATGTATATCATAAGTTGCGCTTTTGGGACAAGAAAAATGAAGTTTGAAATTTGTGGATCAGTCAAGTAGAACGATTGGTGAAGCCGAGATTATAGTTGAAAATTTACATAGTGCTTCTTTTCTACATATATCCTTAAGTTGCACATCTTTTTCTTTCCTTTTTCTATATCCGTTTCCATCATTTTGTTAAAGATTTTAAAGTTTGATTAGAAAAAAGATCAAATAAAAATTCTGAAGAATTTGAAGAAACAGCATGCTTCAGAATATAGATTTTTAAACAATGGAAAAATATTGTTAACAAATTTAAAAAAATAAACATTTCCATTGTTAAAAACTTCTTCGGAACAGTTCAAGAACGTTAACTCTGCTATTTGAAACATATATATACTGGATGCATGTTGCTGTTTTGAAACACTTTATTTTGTTGATAAAATTTAGTTAAATATTATTCAGAAACAAAAAATCGCTATATATATATATTTAATTTTAATTATTTTATAAGATTCAAAATTCTCTTAAAAACATAAAACTTATAATGAATAGATTTATAGTCATTGTTTACCTGTAAACAGGCCCGTAGATTTTCCCAAGTTGTTGTAATTTAATATAGGGCTTTTTCGTCATAAATGGGATATAGCCTATAAGCGGCAATCCCGTAGGCCCAGGTAAAGGGTGTTGTCCCCTTTTCTTCCATGATATGAAAAGTGATACAAGTGCTATTAACACAGTGAAGAAAATCAAAGTTGTCGTTTCCATGCTTCGAACAGCAAAATGTTGTTAATGCTTCTGTCTACCGAAACAATCTTATTCGGTAAACTATATAAGAAGGGCATGATTCAACATTTTTCTGTCACTATCGCTTCAACTTTGAGCCCATTAGAAATAAAACAAGAAATCGAAGATAAACTCTACCAGTATTGCTGCACGTGTCCTGATAATGAGATAGAATATAAGATACGACATAAAGACGTAAAAATTTTTCATTAACTCGAATATAATGGTTTTTTTCCTCGCATCGAAAGAAGGCGTAAAAATGCAATTCCTAATATAAATTCGGAATTTTTGATATTGGTTTATATTTTAGATTATTAAAAAAAAGATGGATATTAGGTGCTGTATAACGTTTCAGTTTATGATTGTTCTAAATAGTTGAAAATATAGTTCATAATTTCCTTTCAATATTTTGCTTTCTATCTTCATCATTAAAAATCTTTTTATTTATCAAAGGACAGAATTCTCAATATATTAAAGACAAATCCTCTATGTTATTTATGAACTTTTTTGGTGTTTTATAGTTGGTGAAGGCTTTTCGAATTCAAATAGACAACAATACTTTTAATTATATAGTAATACTGTAATTCGATTAATAATAGTTTATCGAAAACTTCAATACATTACATACGAAATACCCTTCAGATACCATTCTCAACAAAATTAATCATGATGATATTTTGCACAGTATGAAGGGCAACAGTACATGGCGAAACCCGAGTATACAGGACAGAAAAAAGAGGATACAACATGAGGCTTTTATTAGTTGTTTTATAGGTGCAGTCCTCATCGCACTAACATTTCAGTTCCATTCCAGTTTTGATGGGAAATACACTGAGGGTTAGATCTCAGCATCTTTGATCCCTCTTCCCCTGCCATCAAACTTCTTGGAAGAACTTTCGGCTCACTGGTACGTTAAATGCCCTCATGCTGTACAAACACTATATTTACAGAGAGTGAAGACTTCTGCGGGATTCGGTAGCAACGATATGGCAAACACCAGGGTTACTAACCATTAATGACTGATCGCAGTACGGCACCATGATGATCTGCCTCATGAATTCTTAATCCTTTGTAGCACCTTAGCAATGTAGCAATGTACAATGTTACCTTAGCAATGTACATTGCGGAAAAAAACATTTCTATATCTCTTGTTTTACTGGGCCGATTGACGAAATTCAACTTGCGTTTTTTTATTTCTCGAAAGCGCGACTTTGGATATGTATTAGATTTATACATAGCATTGTTCTAATATGCGAACTTTGACACAAAATCCGACTTTTTCTGAAATGGCATGCCATTTTTTTTTTCATATCTCGATTCTGAGACTCAAGTTATTCCAAACTGCCAAATTTTGTAAAAATCGCATGAGTAGTTTAAAAAAAAATTAGTTCTCAAAATTTTAACTCCTCCATGTTAATTGAATTTGGTATATATTTATTATTCTGTCTTTTTTTATTAAACTTATTTGAATCTTCCTTTCACATTTCGAAATTTAGGTTCATTTGAAATAAAATTTGCCCATTTCTTATGATTTAATTTTAAAATTTATATTTTAAAATAATTTTTATAAATTTTCCGATAATTACTTTGAATTATAACCTATGATATTTTTACCATCATCTTAAAGTAGATGTATTTCTAAGCATATCTGCGAAAAAGTAGAGTTTCTTATTTAAAATTTCCGCAGATATACGTGAATTTATATATTGGCACGTTTTGAAATTTGGCATACTTTTTGAAAGCAATAATAACATCAAATGTGGTTTAGGCGTAATGCATATTTTGCTAATTCAGATTGTTGACGGACCATGTAAAATACTTTTATATTTTGCAGTAACTATTCATTCTCAACACTGGAATTTGTTTCACAAAATTTACTTTTGAAAAAATTTCTTAACTAGAAGTGCATATCTGGCATTAATCGTAAGGAATTAAAATTCGTAGGCACTGTTTTATTGTGGTTGTTGCAAACCCTTCAAAATACTTAAATTATGTAAAATTCGGTATTCAAATTAACTAATGTGTATTTCGTTGTAAAGGGAAAAAAACACGATAAAGGCATATTAGGTAGCAATCTTGGTTAGCAAGAGTGTTTGATGAAGTTATTGTTTGAAAAGTTATTATTTGATAAGCTATTATTTGCATGAAAGCTAACACTTACTGACACTTTAAAAACTATTACTTTCAACAATTACCTACTGTAATTTTCCGAAGTTCGGTCAAATTACTGCCAGCTCTTTTAATAATAAAAAATCTTAAACATCGATATAAGACTTTAAGAAACCTGATCTAATGCACGGCAACAAATTCAGAGTTCTTAAGGAATTGTGAAGAATTTAGATGAAGGAAAATTATGAAAAATTTTGGAAGTTATTTAGCTGTGGACTGTGTTTAGGAGAGTGTTACGATTTTAGGGGTGTAGGCCCGGGTTTGGTCTGGACTTCCTGAGAGTAGGTACAGCTGCTGCGTAGTGAAGCCCACCACATAGCCTCTCACTGTCCCTTCCTCGTGGCCCGGCTGGTAACCAGATTCGCCTTGGTTAACTATGTTCGAATAACCATCTCTGGGGGGTTAACTGGGACTGACCATCCCAGCGTACTGCCTAGATAAATATTTAGACAGGCTCTACTTCTGGAGGAAGTAAACTGTCTTCACAGTGACTAGAGCCACCGTTTATTCGGTGGTAGGTTCAGGATCGGCATGGACCGTACTGGTAATGTCTTGTCTACCCCTTGATTGTGGAGACGTTACATAGTCAGATATCGAAGGTTGTCCTTGGCGGATGGGTTCCCCTTGGTGAACACTGAGGGACGGTCGATGTCTTTCGGTGGATGCGTTGCCGTCCATCTGTGCTCGTATATTTAAAATTGTGCTATGTGAAACATTTTTTAGAGTGTCTGGATTGAGCGAGGCCGTGACCTCCAGGGTTTGGGGCGATATAACCGTGTTAAGGCTAAGGCCAGGTCTGGAAGTCCCTTTCTTCTGGTGTACTGTGTTTACGAGTGAACATCTCAGCCTCTAGTGATCTCAGAACATCGATCTACGAAAGCACAAGGTAGGAATTTAATTTCCTTTCCATCCCTATACAGCACTAACGTTTGAACTAATAACTCAGCCAATATTCTGCTTAAAGATCCCAGCTAAATTTAATTCTTCAAATAGTATATATTAATTATAAATATGTGTTTTTCTTTCTAATCTTTGCATTTTAAACTGAATTTAAAACTTCTTTAACTCAGTATTTTGACTAGTCGATCTCGAAATTCTTAGTCCTAATTTTTCTTAAATTTTTCAAAAATCTGTATCTATGCATATAATTTTACTCGAATCACGATCTGAAGTTATTTTTGTATGTTTTACTGTGCTCTTAATACATATGTATCTCATTTTTGATTTTATGCAATATCTTTTATTTTGATATATTTGTTTAATAATATTCGAAGTCCCACGACTGACTCTTTGACCACTACTTACCCTGTCAAATTTTTCTGTGTAGCAGCGCAGGGTCGGGCTACATAGTTTGGTTCCTCACGTATTAGAGTTACCAGAGGCTCTTAAATCTTAAACTTTCACCCTAACCCCCCCAATTTTATTTTCTTGAGCTATTCACTCCAAATCTTAATAGAAGATCCCCCCTTAGCTTCCCTTTCAATTATAAAACAACTCTTAAGCCCTAACTCTTCTAGCAGCTCTCCGTTTATAACGTTTTTAATTGCCTTCAATTACCCTTAATCTCGTTTTATTTCTTGAATTTCTCACTCCTTAATCTACTAATTTCTTCCAAATCTAATTTTTCGTAATCCTCTTTTCCTTCCCTTTCAGAATTCTGTTCACGTTTTAGTTTCCAAAATACAAGCCCCCTCCCTGAATTTTTGATATAAATTTTTTATTAAAAACTTCTTTCCTACATAACTCTCCTCCTATTGACTTAGAACATTAATTCTTTTTGCCTTATACTCCTCCTCCCTCCTGCTTTCATCCTATCTACTTTATTTTCCTCCCATATCTTTTATGCTTTCCCTTTTTTTTATCGCTTAACTGCACTTTTATTTCTCTTCTATCTCCCAACCTAATCAACTTAGACTCTTAGTTCCACTTGCTTCAACCTCTACACCCAATTACGATTCTTCCAACACTTTAGACTAACTTGTTCTGTCAATTTTATATATTTCCCCCTTTTATCCCCTTTTTTTAAAATTAACTTTTTATGTCTCCTTTAACTCCTGTTCTAATCCACTTAGACCTATTTTTCCCTTCAGTTTCTCTCTCAGCCCACCTTAAGGATTCCAACTACATAACTCCTTAATGCCTCTCTTCAATTTTTATTTCTTCCCCCCTTTTAATTGCCTTTAATTAAGATTTTATTTCTCTTCTAGCTCCTCAACTAACAGTCGTAGCTTCATCGGACCACTTTTTATAAGCAACTCACAAACTCTATGTTGTCCTCTGCCACCATCCCCCAACTCTACACTAATTATTTAATTTTTAATTAAACTAATTAGCTCTTTTTTTCACTTTTCTTCCCTTATAATTTTCTATGAATCTTCATATCAACTACCGCTAACTTATTAACAGACCTAAATCTACCCTGTAGTTCCAGCGCTCTTTTCTATCCCTCCCTAACACTCACTTTATTAAATTCCGAACATTCTACCCCCTTTTTCTTCACCTAACAACTAATAACCCGGGTTTTCCCTCTTCCTGTTGATTTTCCAAGCCTCTGGTACCTCACAACAACCACTGAGAATACTAGTGCTATTATTTTAATTGCTATTTAAGTACACCAGTGATCTACAACATTTTCTGTGTCATTATTACTGATTTACTGTTATTTATATTTTTGCGTGAATTTCTGTGCTAGTGCTATTATTTAATTGCTATTTTAGTACACCAGTGGTTTACAGCATTTTTCTGTGTTATTATTAGACTATTATTGTGCGTACTATTATATATTATATGTACTACTATCACCACAGCATCATGTATTGTCATAACTTCGCATCATGTATATCATTACCTCATGT